ATTAAGGGAGGGAAAATTTCATACTGGGCCACCACTCGGAGCTTTTGCACAAAGTCTATGGGCCATGACAGAACATTTTAAACTATTATCAAAGAATTTTTGCTCACCTTAAACAGTGATTCGTCATCAGATTTACAATTTTTGGTACTTTTCAGGTCATATTCTGGAATATGAGTGGTGGCCCAGTATGAATTTTTTTTCCTTGCGGGAACAAGGAATCACACTTGGTTGCAATAGTTCCAATGTCTCATCTACTGGGTATTTATAAAATGTGATCAAAAACGTAGGCACAACCTAAAACTCATACTGACCCGAATCGCCCCCGTTGCTGATAGGCCCTTGTTCCCTCCGCCCTCCAACACGATACTATCATAGGGGAAGTCATATCCTCCGAGTTCCTCCTTCTGTTCAGCCGTGAGAATCAGTGAGCCGGCGGCCGAGGAAGAAGCTTGAGAGACTGCCACACTCATCCCGTTGGCACCATCACTTGTCTCGCCATCAGGTTGTTGGGAAATTTCCGCGTACTTTGAATTTGAGCTCATTATTGACAGCTTTAATTCGAATGCGAGAACAGTAAAATGCAACTAAGTGTCGAGAACTCACACGCACAATGAACTTCCCTACACGCGTCCCGCCCCGGTTGAACCTGTTAGGTTGCGGGTCAGACGATGGGCCGCGTCCATCAAAAGCCGCCGTGCTACTGGATCTAGGCCCGTATTGTGCATGCTCGCTGTTCCGGAACAAAGATCAACTGTATTGAAACTACCTGCCAAGCAGTGGCGCACCCGGAGGGGCCTCAGGGGGGCTTGAGGTTGTCAATTTTTTTTTAGTCCCACGATTTGGCCTTGGTGATATGAATGTGGCCTGTTTTCGAGTAGTATAATTGGGGTGTAAGTGGCGCCACCAACGTCAAAATAGGCCGTCCCTAAAAAGAAACCCCAATGTTTTTCTTCAGCCAAAAATTTTGGGCAAATTTTTTTGAAAAAAAGCTCAACTTGTAACCAATTTGTAAAACAAACAATTGTGAGCCCCCACAAAACCAAATCCTGGGTGCGACACTGATGCCAAGATGCAAAACACACTATGACTTGCCTACCGCTGTCACTCACACGTTGGTCAAGCCCATGGAGCTAAACAAATCAAACAAACAAATTTACTTTACTTTTACTTTATTTCATCCCAAGGCACAGAAAAAAGAAATGTGTACTTTAATTAATAGAAATTATTGTGATTCATTATGGCTTTTAGAAAATAAAGATAAGTATAACACAGAAACTAGAAAGCACTCAGAGAGCGCAAACCTCCGCCAAGGCTAAACAATTCCCCGCCATATTGTCAGTAAACCCCAAAGAAATACAAATCAAGGACGTCTACAAAAAGGAAAACAACAAACTTTATTATTTCAGTATTCCAGTAATAATAAAATAAACCAACAAAAGCAAAGTTAAATTGATATAATTGTATAAATATAATTACTATACCTCATACATATTCATGACCGAAAGCCGAATTCTCACTGGTCCATTCACCATCACGTGCCAGATGTTATTTTTGCTGTTTACCAAACGCGCGCGCGAATATTCATGCACAGGCTAAGTACGCATGCGTAGTAGACTGTCGCACGGGTTACCCGTGCGACAGTCTACTACGCATGCGCTTTACGAAGCAATCGTTGAACTGTCGCACGGGTGAAGCACATGTAACCTGGAAAATTGACACACTTGGGGATTCAACTCGACACAAAGAATTTAATACAAGACCAGGATCTAAGAACAAGTCGCGAACTATTTTATTAAGAAAAGGATTTTAAAAATGAAACAAACTTGAGATCAAAAAAAAAACAAAGTTAAAACTACAAAACTGAGAAAAAAAAAAACCTAAAACCAAAACCAAAAAAACCTGATAAACCTAAACCTAAACCCTATAACAATAAACTATAACCGAAAGTAAAACCAACTTAAACCAACACAGAGCGTCAAAATAATGGACCTTAAATGCACTCTGACTGAAACCAGGTGACTATAGCAGCTCCAAAACACACAGGGCAGGCGCTCCCAAGAAAAGGGGAAAGAGAGGAAATAACTCGCGAATAAAACACAACTCTCTTCTGTGCCGCTGGTCTGCTAAGTGAGGGGTCTGTGGTCTTACAGGGTGGCAGAGCACATGGTCTTATCAAAGGGGCTATTCAGTGTTCTAAGGGGTCATGTTACTGGGGAAGAGGGAAAAGTTAATCAGGGGTACACACTTCTATGAAAGGGTAGGGGACATCTAATAAAAAAGGGGTGATTTATTCAGGGGTCTACTCCTATACTAAAGCACTACAAAAATACATTGAAAAACTACAAGTAAAACCTGGCTCTGCCCCACACGCACGCGCGAACATCGCCCTATATCTACACATGAAACGATAGTTGCCAAGTAAATGATGATAAGCGTTTTCCCGAGCTGAGTGATGCCAAATTGGAGAATATCGTGGACAATTACAAAGATGTATGTGCTAAAAAAAAGTTGTCCACAAACAATTGTACTGACAACCGCAGTTACTGTATTGCAAACAAACTGACATTTTTGGAGTTTGAACAATATTTTTCTTCTGGTGAGCTGGACAAGTTTCTCCGAAGATTATTTTTTTGCGGATGCATACCGCGGGAAAAATCGGCAACTGAATATGTATGAGGTATAGTAAAACAAATATAACATGGTTTATTTCGGGTGGACAGTCGATATTAGCTCCCCTCGATATTGGAAGTTTACAAACTAGTTCCCGAGGCGAACTTCCAATACCTCGGGGAGAGAATACCGACTGTCCACCCTCAAACCATTTTATATTTGTATACTACATGACCCGCTTTATAAGCACGGTATTCAATATTCAACTTTACTTCACAACAGTGGCGCACCCAGGATTTAGCTTGGGGGGGGGGGGGCTCACTCACAATTTTTTTTTAGAAATTTGAATTTCCTTATAAAATGTTGCCCAAATTTTTTGGGCGCAGGAAAAAAAAAGGGTTTTTTTTAATTTTTGGGGCGGATTATTTTGACGTTGGTGGCGCCATTTACACCCCTATTATACTACTCGAAAATAGGCCACATACATTATCACCACGGTCAAATCGTTGGACTAAAAAAAAAAAAATTACCCCCAAAAAATATTTTAACAAATTTACATCCTGGGGGGGGGGGGGGGGGGGAGGGCTCAAGCCTCCCGTGAACCCCCCCCCCCCATTTTGTGCGCCACTGCTTCAACACTTACTCTGAATATTCCTTGTAAAACGTCTGTAAACAAGACAAGTTGTGTTACAACTGATAATGTAGTAACAATATCGGTCAATTTGTGATACATTATCGGTTGGTGATACGTTATCCGTTGGTTACTACATTATCAGTTGTAACACATGTGTCATCAGAGAAATTAAGATTACATCTCCAGTGTTATACATGTTTAAAGAAAAAACTACAACTCCATGAAGCCCAATACCATTAGTATACCAATTTGAAAGTACATGTACTTTACATTTTACTGTCAATAAATCGTGATGATACAAATGACGTTACTGAAAAAACTATAATTATTGAATTTAAGCAGAATGCTTAACTTTGAAAGAATATCGCGGTAAACTTTTACCTAACTGCGAAAGAAATTGAGTCCTTAAAAACCAAAATCGTTTCCGTAAAATTACACTGCGTGGGACTTTATGTAGGAGCACTCTTGTCAAAACCTAACGTACAAGATCAAGTTCACCACGCGTTTCATAGCCTCTATGATAAGTGTCATCGTCCTCGCTTATAACTTAGCTCAGAGAAAAGCTAAACTGGTTGGCGTTTCAATAAGCTTTAACACAATAAGGTAGTATAATGTAGTAACCAACGGATAATGTATCACCGACCGATAATGTCACATAAATTAACCACTACTGTATCACTAACCGATAATGTAGCACGAAATTGACCGATAGTGTAGTAAAATGTACTACACTATCAGTCAATTGTTGTTACATTATCAGTCATAACCGATAGCGTAACAAGAATTGACTGATAGTGTAGCAACATTTACTACAGTATCCGTCATTTTTGTTACATTATCGGTTAGTGATACAATATCGGTCAATTTGTGTGACATTATCGGTAAGTGATACGTTATCAGTTATAGTTACTACATTATCAGTTGTAACATGGATGATTGACCATGATCTACCACCGTGCAGTTCATGTCTTGCGCACCAACTTGTTCTCAGCAATGCGTTCACGGAGAAAAGCTATGCAGCCAACCTTGCCTTGCTGAGAAGGGGACAAAAATGGAACAAAACATTAAAATACTAGATGTCTGAGCCAAACAACGAAGAAGCTTAACTTGGGTACTTATGGCACAATATGACTCCGTAGACGCTAATAACTATGAACATTCTGACAAAGTTGTACTAAATAACGTACTTCATTGCGATCCACATTTTTGCTATGGTAAGACAGGGGATACTTTATGAATTATTCGCCCTCAACAAGGCTAAAAGCCACTCAAGGTACATCGTTAAAAAAGGAATCAAAAGAAGTTTAAACCTAACCCCAAACCTTTCTCTAACCCTAAGGGAAACTGAAGGTAGGAATTAACATTCCTCTTGAAACAGGAACAGGACAACCTTAGGTTGGAGGGAAACAAGCACCAGGCAGGCAAGGAAATCCAAAGAGATGCAGCACTTGGGAAAAAGCTATGGAGCTTCTCTTCAATGTAGTTCTTGTACGAAATACAAGAGACCAAAATATTCAGCCTGTCTCGACCAGTTGATTCCCCCCCCCAAAAAAATGGTTTTTAATTTGTTGTGATGAGTTTCATGTACATTTAACAGAAACAACATGTTGCTTTGCAGCTTGAAAACAAATGCAAACGAGATTTACCTGAACCATGTAACTTTGGTCTTCTTCCTCCATGTTGAAGTCCAGAGTATCCAGGTAACCGGTGTTAATGCCGATCGTACGATGCACATCAGAGCCCTGTACAGGCAACGAGATGGCTTTCGTTAACTAGCTTATCGGGTTAGACACCTATGTTCCGACACACTTATGTTCGACATCCCTGTGTTCCGACTGCTCTTGTTCCTAACCTTAACCCTAACCCTAAACGGGCTATTAACACATTCTTATGTGCGGGTTATCGGAACATAGGGGTGTCGGAACATAGCGCAGTCACCGCTTATCGTAGATCGCAGTGGAAATTCAATATTGTCCACGAAGAAAAACACCACATAAAACCAAGTCACGTAAGTGGAAAGAGGAGACAATGTTCAGTACAAGGGTTTATACATAGTGTTGAACCTCCGAAAATAGAGATTAAGAACGAAGTGGAAGACATGTTTTTTTTTAATCCTCAACATTTTCTTTATATATAAAACTGTAGATCAGTATTACCTGAACGAAGACTCTCTTCATATTGAGGAGCAAGGTGTCCAGAATACTGCTGAAGTAGCTCCCAAGACCAGCGATTTCCTTGCGGCTGTAGCCACGGAAATGGTCCATAATCTCCAAGCCTTTGCTCTCCCCAAACGCCATCAGTTCGTGTATAGTTAACTTCGAGAAACAAAATCCCAAAAAAATAAGTTCATGTCCTTAAATGAAAGCACTCATTTTTTCAAACGTCAGCCAATTGTTGACTTTCATCCACTGAACATACAGGGTGACCACCCCCCCCCCCCAAAAAAAAATGCAACCATAAAAAGTCTGCCTTTTAAAACAAAAGGGATAGGTAGATTTTATGTTTTGGGTATCAGATTAAAGCTGAGAGATTACTGAAACAATCATGAAAATAGCACTTTGGATTGCTGAAAAAATGCCAATTTTGTAAAAGAAGTCATTTTCCATCCTGTATACCAAAAACTACAACAGTAAGGGATCTTCACTGTACTGCAGGTTTGTGCATATCCTAATCCTTACAATCAACACGGCACATGATATGTCAAGAGTACAAATGAATTTGATGCAAACACCTTTTTATTTTCCACCTGAACAGGTATCTCATCCTTTTTAGTCCTATTTTGAACCTTTTCAGCGACATAAATAAGTCAAAATATTAAAGACATTGCACAAAATGAAGGATGGTTGCACAGTAGGCTTGCAGTAAAATGCTTCACTGTTTGAAGTATTTGTGTACAAGATTAAACATGACTTCTTTTACATAACTGGAAATTGTCAGCAACCCAAATTGCTATTTTCATGATTTGAAAGAAAAAGCTCTCAGCTTTAATCTGATACCCAAAACATAAAAATCCGACTATCCATTTCTTTTTAAAAGGCAAATGTTTAAGGGCTGCATTTTTGGGGGTAACCTTGTCTTGTCCTTTAACCGGACCGTCGCACGCATGTGATTACAAGTTTGTGGATTGTTTCCTAAAGAAGAAGAAGGTGCTTTTGCAGGCGTACATAAAGGAACTTTAAAAAGGGTTCACAATTCTTACTTTGCCATCTTTTGACGTGTCCAGTTGTTTGAAAAATGCCTTTGCGTCAATGAAGTCTTGCCCAAATAGCTGCTTCTTGTCTTCGGTTGTAAACTCCGAGTTTGGCTGTGAAGGAGAGAAGTAAGCAAATGATGTCACACGTCGTAAATGGGATTGCGACGCGTCGCAGTGCTTAGTGAAATCTGGTGCAGGTAATATTAAACAAATCATGCGATGAAACAAACAATGATTTGTCCCATGGCCTGACCTCGTTAAACATTTTCTTCTGAAAAAGTGGTGTTATAATGAACGAAAATGTTACCATGGAATTACAATGACCTGTAAAAACTTCTTTACTGTCTGATTAAACTAACCAAGTCGATCTTCTTAATTCCAAAAAGTAATGAGGTGAATGAAGTCACGAACAACATGTTTGGGAAAGGAGAGAGAATCTGACCCCAAACATGACTGTCTAGAGGGTCTCTTTAATTCAACGCCCATCCTTTAGGTCATGCACTCAGACTGAATTCCGTGTTGAATAGCCTACCTTGTTCATGGCCATCTCGAATTCCTGCTCACTAATAGTCCCGCTGTGGTCGATGTCGCTGTCCCGAAGTACCTTGAGAAACTTAGAAAACGATGACATAAGTGTTTGATGCTCGGTCCTCTTCTTCTCTATTTCTTTCATTGCCTCTTCTCGGGCTCTGTATACCATAAGATAATTAATTTTGCACTGTTATCAGTCAATTTTGAAACTGTTTATCTTGTTTTCTTGGCATGAAAAGAATTTCTTGATGAGACTATAGGCAGCATCATGTATCATTGCCTTTTTAAATTCAACAGATTAATCCCAGTTAGCCCTGTAATAATTGAACAATATTGGTCGCAAAATATATTTATTGAGCAAGGATGGAATGAATCGTCTAGAACCTTGCCTTAAGGAGGCAGGAATAGGGTGAAAAAAATTGAATCAGAAATTAAGAAATTGTATTCGAATACATGTAATTAAATTGTACAACCATCAGGACCATTTCGAGCGATTCACAATGAAGTGCGCCAAAAAGATTTTGCTGTGGAGAGTTTAAAGTTTACGGTTGACAAAGCATGACCCATTTGAATGAGTGTCAGTAGACAACTTGAGCTAATTTGTTGTAGATTGGGGCATGGCGTTCTGCCACCCTACAGAAGAAAACACCATATTGATGAAAAGAAAAGAAAAGGGCAAACATATACTTGAATCATACGCTTACGAAACTACTGACCGGAAAAACGAACAATTTCAAATTTCCCGCGCTGCGAATTTCGACCATCTCCCACAATAAACTAGGAAATATGAGCTCTCCATGGCAAACTCTTGGTGGCGCACTAGTTTGTGAATCGCCCGATGCCTGGGAAATGTTTGCTTCGTATACTTGTAAACCTTTGAAAGTCTGATGTGTTGGCTCATAAGAATGCTGGTTCACAAGAAACGTGTTCACAAGAAAGACTCTAAAAACTAGAAGAAAACCACAATGAAACTGTGACCTGCACCATTGATCCGAGCAGAAGGAAGATTTTAACCACAGTCATTCAAGTCACAACAATTGGAGGTACACAAAGTACACCTGAAGTTAGAATAACACATTTGGAAACTAGGAATTATACAAAGATCGACTACAATAAACACAAGTGCCCATAATATACATCTTCATCACGTATGGGCCATTGCAAAAAAAAAAAAACCAAGTTATTATAATATTATGTATTTACGTTTCGTTTATGACGAGACCAGGATGAGTTATTATGCTATGATGTCGTTAAACAAAAAAGAAAAGGGACTTTACATGGCCAGAGGGGTGTTAGGGACAACCGGCTTTTCAGATGATGTGATATGCTTCTCAAAACGTTTCATCAGGTCGTCCTTCATAATCTCCCTCTCATCGTTGGCATACTGAATGAGATCACACAAACATGGAAGTAAGAACTATATAGTAAAGGTGCTTGTCCATAGACCTAATTGGATCAGATAGGCTGATACTGTTTAGTTAACGTCCCTGATGGATACTTCACAAGCGATTAAAATACCAAACTCTAGGTATACTTCAAAGCGTTTGTAGACCGAAGAACAACTTAAGAGAAACGTATTAGAGGCATGAAAATTGTATTAGCGGCATTGTCACATAATTGGACTCTTTTTGAAGAGATTGATGTACTGATGTTAGATGTTGTGGCATCAATTAGCTCGGATTTCAAAAGGCAGACATTTAAAAATCACTGAAGGCTATGAATAATATGATGCGGAATTTTCTGTGCATAATAACTATTGTCATCAAGTGCTTTCTGTTACTTACAAGTAGGATCCCCAATGTGTTCTCGTCCTTAGGAGAGAAGCGTTTGTTGGGGTCCCAGAGTTTTGGAAGTTGCTCAAATGGCTGAAGACGTTTGAGAAAGGAATCATCGGGTTTCATGGACAAATACCAGCCTGAAGCAGAAAATGAAACAATTGAAAATGTAACAATATATGTTTCTGTGATTATGAATACGTAGTTTACTCTATATCGATAATGCAAGTCCTATGGATGAAACACAATTTCATTTACATAAGTGCACATGTTCATCATGGGCGTCGCCAGGATTTTTTTTACAGAAGGAGGCAGAGCTCTCCAAATCCTTGTACTTTCTCCAGCATATTCTCAATTTATCATAATTATTTTCGAGGATGGGCTGGGGGGGGGGGGGGATTTGTCCACCCCACCCAATTGAAATGTATATACCAAAAATAATGACTCTAATAAATAAGCTGCGCAGGATATAGAAGTTTTACAAATGCGATATTATAAATTGTATAGGTAATTACAGCACATTTGGTTCGAGGTTTCGTGAGTGAATGTTGGGGTACCGGTGCGGACGCCATCACCACAAAAATAGAAAAGAAAGTAGTGATAGCATTACCGTCGTAGCAATGTATTGGATAGTTGCAGAGTAGTCCTCCATCTACGTAGTAGTCCGTTGTGTTCCCGCTCTTTACTTCCACAGGGCAAAAAAAGCCTGCAAAGAGAAAACAAGTGTAACCGTTTGCTGCATGTTACATGCAAAATGTATTACTCTAAAGTGTCGCATGAGGATCCATGCGGGGTATTACATTAAACCCTCGTAAAAAGGCAATATAGACCCTTGTCAAGAACAGACAACCCCAACTCAGCCAGTGAGTATATTTCACCTTTCACATAAAGAGAAGGCGAGACATACAAGGAGAGGTCATTTTCCATTGATCGACATCAAGATATTTTGCAATTTTTTCTATGACCTAAGATAAAACCAGGATGTTCTCATATTCTGTAGTGGTTCATAGGGCCAGGGGAGACGTTTTACTGCCAAATGACATTCCATTCCCTCCATTTTCCATCGTCAGGATAATAAAAACAAAATTGGACCTTAACGAGTTTTAGAGAAATATCAAAGTTTTAAACTCCAGACTTACAACACTGACCGTATAGGCCCTACACTGAAGATGCTCATGAACGAACCTTGTTAGGACTACATTGAAACTCTATAGACAAACTTTGTTGTAAAAACAAATCCAAAAGTAATGATTTGTTATAATTGCAGAAATCGGGTAATATAAAAACAAATTAGCTTGATGTAAAAGAATAAAAGAAGGCCTATTTAGCCAAGACAATAGACCTGCATTGTCTATACCTGGAATACAGCCGGACATCCGAACTGCTTCTCTGATAGGCATATCGGGAGTGGTTTTGACATGGCAATACGTGCAGTCCATGGTGTTCATGTTGGTCACGGTAATACAAAGCTCCGTTTTATTTAGCTGATACAACTGGTTGGGTAAAAAAAGAAGAAGAGTTATGTTCAAAGTCGGGTGGTTTGTGTGTGGAATAGTGTCCGACTATGGGTCGTACAATTTCATTTAGAAGGGGTGACACCTGAAAATTGTTTTGGGAGGGTATTTATAAAAGTCCAAAATGGCCACCGCGATGTATGTTATGCACATACTTTGCTAGATGCCATATAATACTTTTTGTAAAAAAGGGCACTTGCTACTTGCTCAGAAAAAGGGGCACTTGTTCAGGGGGAAAAACGTGCACTTGTTCAGAAAAAAGGGACTTTTTACAAAGGGGGGGGGGGGGTAAACGCTTGTGAAAAAAGGTATTTGAATGGAAAAGGGCAGACCTTTGCACTTTCTCATGACCTTTGCACCCACCTCTTTAAATGTCAGGTCTGGTTTGCCCGTCTTAGCTTTGAGTTGCTCACCGAACCAATCAGAGATCTTCTTGCCGGGATGCAAACCGTAGCTCATCAGCATGTTAGGAAGAAAGCTGAGTGTGCCAAATCTGGCATCTGGAATCAAACCACAAACCATCATTCTGTACATCTGCTCGTATCCACCGCCCAAAATATCAAGGATGACCACAAATATTAGCCCCCCCCCCTCCTCCTCAGACCCCCCCCCCCGCTCTTGCAACTGGGTTCCGCTTACTCACCAAGGAAGACTTTCGAAATATCGCCACTCAGGAATGCCTCGATATCATGCGAGTTATATCCAACAGCCATCAGTGCAGCAACCATTGAACCGGCACTGGCCCCAGCAAAACGTTTGATGTTTCCCCAGTAGCCAAGCTCCTCAAGAACCTGCATGTGATACAAGGAGAAATTCTATTTTTAATGAACAACTGTATTATGTCCATATAGTGCATTTTTAATATAAATATCCCAGACTCTGTAAGTTTTCCATTGCATGCAGGGACACATTTTCAATTTAGTTTGTCAAAGGATGAACATTTTTATAATTAACACAAGTCATAACCGAGTACAAACTTTGACTTGAGCGGCCCTCATAAAGAGCTTGCAAAGGGCGCCCTCACTGTCGACAGGTTTTGGTTATAGACCTTAAATTCTTTTGTTTGTAAACATTTGCGCCATTTTATATGGGCTGCCGCAAGCGCATATATTGAAGCCGTGGTTGGCAACATGTTTTACCCCCCAAAAAAATCCCCCAAACGCCCTTGATACAAAGTAAAAAGGCATGTCTGGGAATTATGTTGTAGCTTTGTTGACAATGTTGTATTTCCAACAATCAAATGTCTGTAATAACTTCTTTATTTTTGTAGTGTTGGACCTTGCATAGTTTTACAACCCGTGGTTGGCAAAAATGCAGTTTGCCAACCAAGCGTAGAAAGGTCTATTCAAATTCACGGCAGTGACAATGGCAGTAAAAAGCGTCTAATAACGGGTACCGGTGTAGCGTGAATATCCGACTCCATGAAATGTGGACTCATTGGTATTACTGCGCACGCGTGAGTACGATACTATGCTATTTTTAGGATCGTTTCGGAAGAGTGACCTGTCACGTGCGAGGGATCAACCAATAATAGGGAAATAGGGGTCCGATTTTCATAGGAGTCGGATTTTCATGTGACACCGGCGCTCTGTACAAGTTGGCCTGTACGTATTTACGCAAGTAACCAAAGCCGTCGAGTTTTGTACAGTAACCTTCAACATAACACTGCTGCTGCATTCAATGCGACATCAGGTCCAAATCTTAATTATTCATCTTGAAAACATTGAAACTTGATGTGACATCATCATGACGTCATCACGTGACATGTGACGTCATAATTCAAAGTCCTATGAAAATGTAATCACATATTATATGCCACCATTTATTATAAACAGAACTACACATCTTTCCTTGATGGAACTTATACTTGAAACTTTACATGTCACACGTCACAAAAAATTACCGAAACAGCCCTGTGTTTGTCCACAAACATAAATCTAGTTAACATTAATGTCTGTCCGGTAAAGCGTGAATATCGGACTCATGAACTATGGACTCCTTGCGCGGGCACTAACAATCACATCCGTGCTGAAATGTAGACAGTTTTTTCCCGGACACTTGGCCTCCGGGTTGTGCACACTAGCTGACAATAGCCTAAATGGGGCTTTTCAGGTCAACACGTGCGCAATGGCACTTGTTCGGAGAAAAAGGCACTTGTTAACAAAAGCATTGCACTCTTTTCAAATATCTTTACAAATAAGCGCTGGTGAAAAAAAGGGCATTTGAATGGAAAAAGGGCAATCTTTACAAAATATTGCTGTCTACGCCTATGGCTCATAAAAACTCTGTAGACCGATAAATTATTGCCTATAGCCCCAAACTTGCCATCTACCGATCATAAACATAAAGATACATTTGGTCTTTTAGTCTTTTATATTTGCCAGTCCCTGTAACAAACAAATAACACTGCAAATATATCGAGAGCCACATCGTTTGGTGAGAACTATGTGAATATTTTTATGAACAGAAATTCGTCTGCTTCCAGTGGAACCAATTGTTTTAACTTAAACCAAAAAAAAACCCTTTCGGGTTTTATAAGTTTCAGTATACTACCAGCATATTTCATCACAGTGCATCCAGAATCCAACATTTTCCGGGGCCTTAAAGCGGGCCCCTGGCCCTGTGGCCCCACGCCGTAAGGGCTCGGAAAATAAAACAAAACATACACGACGGAATTTACTAAATGTAAGAAACCAGCCTTGCAACAATAATATTTACATGCGATGTCATGCTTTTTCCAGAATTAAATGGAACCAAAAATAGAGATAAAAATACAGGGTTCTCCACTTTTCAGTAAAGTTAGACGTTTTAAGAGCAACAGTATCTCTAAACAAAATAATAAAATAAATTGTTTTATAATCGCAAAAAACTTTTGCTAAAAAAGTCAAATGAAAGTGGCCAGGAATCGCCTCAGATTGCACCACAGAGCATCCATATTCCAAATTGAGCCACGACGTAAGGGCTTTGCGCTCCGTTTTCGTATTAATTTTGTCCGTCCTTTATAAATTCCAGCACCCCCTGACAAAAATTTGTTCCAGCGGCAGTGCAATGTCACAAGCATAAGTGACAGTTACGTAAAGTTTGGGTGTGCTAGGAGGATAAACAACCTAATGGTGCCAGACTGGGACCATGAGTGCTCAAAAACGATGCAAAAGAAGATCAGGCCAACTTCACTCACTCTTCAGCCAGCAAACTTCTCCAAAACTGTCAATCGGCAAAGAAAGGGTCCTCAGTATTTCACCAACCAAGTTTTAAGACTCATACATTTGTAAAGGAGATTTTCTTCAATATTTGGCAGTGGCTTGCACAAGAGAGGGAGGTCAATTGATTTCAAAATGAGGTTAAAGACTAGACTTCTACATGTCCATCCATGGGCCAATAATTGTTTGACAAGACTGAATTCTTCATTCATTGTCATTAGTCTGGTGCCTGACTATGGAGAAATGTGTATAAATAGTGACCTAGTAACCGACATCCTAGATATTTGTTTTGGCACAGTCAGCCGACAGTTGATTTATGCAGTATTGAAGCGATGTTGGACAGGTTGTTTCAGGTGCTAGTCTATTTTCTTGCATTGCAGGTTTTCATGCCTTAAGTTTTGGGACTCCAATACACAAAATATTCGGACTATTATGGTGCGTGCTTTGTGCATGTGGTTATTTTAATTTAGTAAATACACGTTTAACTAAGCAATGTCACGTTTAGGACCCATGGTTGTACAGGGTGAGTCAAAAAAGCAGAATCCAAACCCCAAAATTCTAGTTCATATATTAAAAAAACAAATGTAGCACCAAAAATAATGACTGGAAAGCCAATTTCATGAGCTACTTTTAGATGAAAAAAAAAATACTAAAATTGCTCAATCAGTTCAAAGAATATCCGTTCAAAGAAATGAGGGGAGGGGGTTAAGTACCCCCTTCCCCCTGCTGGCTACGCCAATGCAAATGGAGCGGGATTACGGGAATCACACTTGGTTGCAATGGTTACAATATCTGAATGCGATCAAACGTATTGTTGATGTACCCTAACGTGGCGCGGCCCCTAACGTGGCGCCTTTGGATTTTTCGCCGGTAGCGCCTAGCTAGAGCAAAATTTTAAACTGAAATTTCACAGAAAGTGAAATTTCATCAAGTTCTAAACGGTCCTGTTCATAAATCGCGAGTTTATTTACCCGTAACAAAGTTAGAAGGAAAAGCTATTTTGGCGTGATTTTCCGTATTTATTTTCAAGTGCAAAGTGAACCCTTTGAAAATGCCCTGAAAAATAAGAAAATAATTTTCTGACAAACATTTGGCTGGGTATGTAAGTAAAGATATTAAGTATTTATCAGAATTTATCAAGTTTACAGGAATTCGTAAGTGTTAATTTGGAATTTTCCAAGATTTATTCAAGTGCGCCACGTTAGGGAACACTCCGCCAATTTGTGCCCAATTTCCGGACACCACCGTTTTTGAATTTCGGATTAAATTTTATGAAACTGAAATTGTTCACAGAGGTAAAATAGCAAGCATTGATAAGGTAAAAGTACTAGTATTTCATTGCATGAATTTGAGGTTTGTCAACAAAGAGGTTTGGCAACACTACACGAGGAAAGTCGGGTAAGCTTCGAAGTGCGCCACGTTAGGGAACACGACTATATATATAGGCACAACCGAAAAACACATACTGACCCGAATCGCCCCCGTTGCTGATAGGCCCTTGTTCCCTCCGCCCTCCAACACGATACCATCATAGGGGAAGTCATATCCTCCGAGTTCCTCCTTCTGTTCAGCCGTGAGAATCGGTGAGTCAGGGGCCGAGGAAGAAGTTGGAGAGACTGCCATACTGGCAATTTCCCCGTACTTTGAACTTGACTGGCCCATATTGACAGTGTTTGAAGTTGATTGCAAGAGTAAAATACAGCTGACGTGTCCAAAATCCAACACGCACAATGCGGGATAGATGAGGGTGCCACCGTCGAAAGGTTCGTTTTTACTACATCTAGGCCAATTGTGCATGCTCACTGTTTCGGAACAATAAACCATTGCTATGACGTCACACTATGGTAACTGATTGGACGGTATGTACACGGACTCTCTACCGTACACCATTTTTGAGTCTGTGTTCAGAAAAAGGGACAACGCATCGAGTTACAGCATTTCGTTTTTGATGCGTATAAAACAAAATCATCAATTGTTTTCCTTTGTATATAGTTAACATTATGTAAATAAACGCAGCACACTCATATCTGTTTCATTTTGTTTCACTGAAACACAAACAACTAAAAACTAAGACAACGTTTTCTTTGCCAAAACAAAAACGAAAAAAGGGTAACAGGAAAAGCAAAAACGAAACCTGTTACTAGTTTAAGCCCAAGGAAACCCGAGTGCGGTCGAGTTCGTCAGAAAGTGTCTCGCGGCTGTTTCCTTTGAAAAAAAACTTGTCCACGGGGCATGGCGGGAACTCATGCGCGACCATGGATTATGACGGGCATGCACATGTTTACTGTACTTGCTGTATT